GCAAACAGCTGTGACAAGAAATACTAAACGAAGTAAACAAGAAGAGCAAAAAGAAATGTGCAAAAATAGAAACCATCTCAGTTAACTACAAAGGAATAACAACAACAATGATAACAACAAATGACTCGGCAAGATTAGATGTAAGCTAGTGAAATTTAATTAAATTTAATAAAAACCACAAAAATCACAAAACTTTCACTTAGCTTCGGTTATTATCACATTAAGATGCTCGTAGGCACTTTTTATAGCAACTTTTACTCAAAATTAGCACAATAAACTTTGCAAAATACAAAGACCAATCAAGGCACAAATAAGTAGAACTTCACAGCTTGACGTTTGCAGTCTAAATAAAAAGTTGAAAATTTAGCTGAAACTTTGCAGTTTTCATAATTTTTTCACAAAGTTTAAAATGTGGATTTATATGGTGTTTGCTATATAATGAGCTAGACTTTTATGGAAAAATAATAAATATTAAAAAACAAAAGCAAAATAGCCAAAATTGAGCAAAATGTTGCTGGCTTAATTAGCTGATCACAAGTGTGCATACATGTGTGCATATTACTCAGCCGACATTTAGTCCATAAACCCTTAAAATTTATTACTCATAATTTTTGGATCTTTTTCATTTATAATTCCGCCAAGTTTATTCAGATTGGCGACGTTAAAAATAGGCTGAGAAATTATCTCCAAAGGACAACGCAGAGGTTAAGGCAAGCATCTAGGAAGTGTGACTATTGCTCTAAGTGCGTGGTTAGTAAAAACAATGTCCTCAACATGAAAGCAAGTTATAATGATGAATGACAATGTCACATAATAGTAAAGCTAAATTTACTGGAATCCGAATTTTCCTAGTTTTGAATTCGTTGCTCCGCCTAGCAAAATATAAAAATGGTATGCTGTAATCCGTTCGAAACTATGCCTACCAAAAACAGGAAAATCGAAGTTATTTATCAGCTGTTTTGATAGAAATAAATAAATATCTTTGCAAGTGAAGAGTGAAATTTCAAATCAGCTATTTGTAACAAAGTTTTTCAATTAAATAAAATATAATTGATTATTTATTTTATTTGGTAA